GCCGTTGCGGGATCTGTCCCCAAAGAAGGAGGTCAGGGAACGCGGGCAGAACGCATCTTTGCGGGTGTTAAGCACGGCAATAAAGCAGCAAAAGGGATCTCCCAGTTTTATTACAACCCTGCAAACGCGAGGCGACTTTTCGACAAGTTTCTCACCGCTTTTCATATTTCCGTGCTTAAAAATAAATTACTATCCCTCACCACCACAAAAAAAAAAAATAATGTTAAAAGGCTCTGGGTGAGTGTCGGGGGCGGCAGGAGCCGGTGCCAGCCCCAGCCAGCTCCTGCGACCTGAAAGGAACGTTTCACCACGAGCCATAGCAAATTTATGTCTCGGAGCAACGTTGCAGAAGGAACAGACTTTTTTTTTTTTTTTCCCCAGCCAGGTGTCTGAAAGCCTCGCCAACACTCAAAGCCGTTCTCTCCCCTTTCATTTTATTTTTTTGAGTTTGGTTTGTTGTTTTTTTTTTTTAAATAAAACCCAAATTCCCCGCGATTTGGCTGAGGATTTTTGGAAGCGGCTGAACACCCCAAGCCGCGCCCCTGGGGCCGCTCCGACCCTTTGCCCCTCGCTGCCTGCTTTCCTGCACGATAGCTTTTAAATAATTCCCCAACCTGCTGTGGTCGGAGTGAAACGCAGAATTCACTGCCCAGAATTCGTAGAGGGACGGCGAAAGCTTGAGTAATTATTGTCAAATAACGTCAGCCAAATGGCTAAATAATTATCACTTCATTTCGGTTTAGAAGGTAATAAAAAAAATCCCCCCCTTTTTTTTTTAACCCAAGCAATAATCACCTGCTGATGAACTGTCGGATCGCTGTTATATTGATATAATCTAGATGGGATTTATCATAAAAATGGTGCAAAAAGTCTCATTCAGGCGTGCAAATCTGCATTCCTTTAAAAAAAAATAATCATCCCTCTCTGACCAGATGGGCACTGGCTAAACCCTCATCTCGCAGATTTAACAGTCCGGATTTTGGACAACGACAGATACCAGAAATCTTTAATTGAAGGAGGCGAACCGTTAAAAGCGCTGAATCAAACTAGTTTTTCACCAGTACAAAAAAAAAAAGGAGGTATTTTTAAGACTCCTTCTCTATCGATTTACCTTTCTGGCTATAAATAACCTCTCAATGTATTATTTAACAAAGACGCTGTTTCCTGCCTTAAGAGAAAAAAATGAAAGTGAGAGAAAAAATTTAAAAAAAAATAAATAAAAGAGAGAGTGGAAAATCGAGAGGAGGGAAAAATAAAAATAGAGGGGAAAGAAAGTTCTCCGGGAGGCGCGGAGCTGCTCTGAGCTCCCCACCCGAGCGGGGTCCCGCAGCTCCCGCAGCGCGGCTGCCCCGGGCCCGGCTCCCCGCTAATTCCCGTACCAGCAGCGCTGCGCGATGAACTTTCCCTTTATCGCCCCAAATGCTCGCTCGGAGGGAGGAGAGCTG